CACTACCAGGTACGGCTGAGGGTCCTAAGGTGGTAGTCTTTCACCCTGTAGGCCTTTCTCTCGTCTGGTTCCAGTTGAGCCTTGAGTTTGTTTCTAGGTCTCAGGCATTCCATCGGTCTCCATTAGAACAGTCAGCTTGGTCTTTTTAATGATTTTTAATTTTCCCCACATTTCCCCCTATTCTGTCCAAGACCCTCTGTTGTGAAACCTTGCAGAATGCTCGGCAGAGGTAGTCAGGCACTATCTGTTTTTTCTGATTTTAGGGTCTTGATGCTAAAGTTCCTAATGTAGTCTGTTAGTCTTTGGGACTCAATGTTTCCATGAAGTTTTGATTGACTTCGCTCTTCCGTGCTCTGGAGTGCATCTTAGATAGCTGCTTGCAGACATTTAAATGCCAGTTACTGCTTATCAAAGTAGGATACAAAACACTGTCTTTGTGGCCTATCCTATGCCAGTTGTCAATAACGTCCCCTGACACCATGGTTCTGAGTCTCCAAGCCCAGTGACCCAGTGCCTTGAAGTGTTAGTAATGACTAAGATGTTTACATACTTTGACCCCCTGTTTACTCTATTATAAACATGGATATAGTTACAGAACCTATGAATAGCTTTGTAAAAAGAAATGTCATCTAGAAAACCTATCTAGAGACGGTAGTGTAGTTCCTGTAACCCACTCGTACTTATTAATAAATCTTGCTTAGCTGCTATGTATCTATTTGTGAATTAGTGTTTGCCATTACTGATAATACAGGATTTTGTATAGTCTAGTATTTACCTCTGTTGTCTGTAACTCTTGGACTGCACTGCATATCTTCCTTTTCTTTAATGACAGTGTGCTGTTCACGCCTATATTATATGTTCATCCTTCACCCACATAGTGGTTGTCTTGTTGGAGTCCTGGTGTGTTACTGTAGGATAAGCACTGGACCCCAAGACTAATTCAAACTACAAAGTTGGTAGTTCAAACTCGCCAATTGCTCATGCCCAGACAGGATCACTCAGAATTGGAACTGACTTGATGGCACTTAATAACAACAACAATTACCTTGCTAATGATTTATCTACCTCTCCCTCCCAACCCTGGTAGCTATCAAAAACACTTTTTCTGCGTGTAAACGTTTCTTTTCTTTGACTTTTTGTAATAGTTGTTGTTTTTATGTGCCGTGGAATCGGTTCCGACTCATAGCGACTCTGTACAGGGTTTCTGAGACTGTAAATCTTTACGGGAGCAGAAAGCCTCATCTTTCTCCCGCAGAACAACTGGTAATTTCAAACTGCTGACCCTGAGGTTAACAGCCCGATTTATAACCACTACACTACCAGAGCTCCTTGTAATAGTAGACTTATATAATATTTGTCCATTTCTGATTGACTGATTTCCCTTAGAGTACTGTCCTGAAGGCTTATCCACATTCTGAAGTGCTCATGATTATTCTTTAATATTGAATATTGTGTGTATGTGTCTTAATTTGTAATCCATTCATGCGTTGATCAGCACTTAGGCTGGTTCTTATTTCTATACTATATACAGCCAGTAGTAGGTTGGTTGGATCAAGTGATACTTCTTTTTCCAACTTTTTAAGGATGCACCATACCAATTCCCATAGTGGGTGCACCACATACCCACCAGTACTACATGACAGTTACAATCTTTCCACATCCTCACCCATATTTGTTAATTTCTATCTTAACTAATTATGGTGTTGGGGAAGAATACTAAAAGAGCCATAGGCTGCCAAAGTAACCAATAGATCTGTTTTGGAAGAAGTGCAGCCAGAGGGCTACTTAGAGGCCAAGATGGCCAAACTTCGTCTCTCATACTTTGGACATATTGTCAGGAGGGAACAGTCGCTGGAGAAGGATATCATGTTTGGTAAGATGGAGGGTCAGAGAAAAAGAGGAAGACCCCCCCCAACGAGATGGATTGGCCAGGTGGCAGCATTGATGGACTCAAGTGTGGCAACAATAGTGAGGTTGGTCAATGATCGGACATTGTTTCGTTCTGCTGTGCATAAGGTCGCTATGAGTTGGTGCCGACTTGATGGCACCTAACAACAACAACAACATCTTAACTAAAGGAGCTCTGGTAGCGTAGTGGTTATGAATCAGGCTACGAACCTTAAGGTTAACAGTTCAAAACTACCAGAGGTTCCGTGGGAGAAAGATGAGGTGTTCTGCTCCCATAAAGATTTATAGCCTCAGAAACCCTGTACAGGATCATGATGAGTTGGAACCAACTCCACGATACTTAACAACAACAACAACATCTTAACTAGATGTTGTTATTATACTGCTAAGGTGAGATGATATCACACTGTTGTTTTGATTTGCATCTCAATGCTATGGGTTTGTGTGTTGGACTGCATAGTTAGTTTGAACTGCAAGGTTGGCAGTTCAAGCTCACCAGCCACTCCTCAGAAACCCTACACAGGGTCACTAGGGGTTGGAACCAACTTGACGGCACTTGACAACAACAACAACAAAATGGCTAACCACATATATTTTTTCATATGTTGACTGCTGGAATGTCTTCTTGGGTGAAGTATCTGTTCATGTTCTTGCCAGTTTTTTAATTGGATTGTTTGTCTTTTGTTGTTGAGTTGTTGAAGTTTTCTATAAATTTTATTATTTTTAAATGTTTTATTGTGAATTATGTGATAGTTTACATGGGAGAACATTAGCTTTACATTCATCCCATCATATATCATTACATTGCCATGGTTACAATCCCCTCCATGCATCATCAACCAACCAAAGAGTATACCATGCAAGGTTGCCCCTTGGTTGTCAGCACACAGCCCCTCTCCTTCTCTGGGTCTAGAGTTCCAGCCACTCCATCTCTCCACGTCATTGTCTCTGCCTCCATCTCTGGCATCACTGCTTCTCTGGGTAAGGACCTGCACTCCGCTCTTCTTCCTTGATGGTCCCAGGGACCTCCACTCCTGGACTGCAAAGTCAACCACTCTCCTCCTTTTGCTACAAAATGTCTTCCTTTACATTTCCAACCCTCACAGTCCATCCTGATAGCAATTATTCACTATTGTGCCACATGCACAGACCCGCCATGTCAGCATGGCGGGGTCCCAGCACCTTAATAAGCCAGAATCTCCTAGGAACTGCCATTTCCAGGAAGTCACCAACATTCCCACAATTTGAACCGTCATTGGTCTTGTCTTATTAAGAATGTGTTTTCTAGTACCTATCCAGTTTGGTTGACTTTTATTTCCAGGTTGGTAAAGAAACTTTTCCAGCAGGCCTTTTGAATTGTATAGTTATGAAATAAGCATGGCAAAATGATAATATTCTTAAGAATTTTTGTAGTTATTCGCCATCAAGTCAGTTCTGACTCATAGTGACCCTGTATAGGGTTGCTGATGAGTTTGAACAACCAACCTGCAGTTTGCAGTCCAATGCTTATCCTACGGCACCACACCAGGACTCCTCTTGAGCACTAAAGGAATGATATCTATCTGGTTGTTTTCTACAGCACCTTCAACTGGACGGTCCCATTCCTTTCATTCCTGGCCTGTTTGATCCTGGTGGTATCCACGGTGGTTTTGTATTTCATCCCACTGCGCTACATCATTTTAGTCTGGGGTAAGTTTGACCAAGTCCCTTTGTGAGTAATCAATTTCAGGTAGAACTAATTACTCAAAAAAAGAAGTAAAAATGTGATCTATGAAATGTATATCTCATTTTACTTAAATGTCCTGTTGTTGGCAATTAAGCATGAGGTTAAGGGAACTACTTGGGAAACAGAAAATTTCAAGACCTCCCAGTATGAGTAACTAATCAGCATGGAAATTTATATAGCTCTTGCATAATTGTGAGAAATAAAAATGTGATCGTGAATGTGGTTTCCCTTTGGGGCTGCATAGTCATAAATACACTGGAATCATATATTGCTGGGGCCCAGTCACGTTCAGGAAATGCTCTTGTCCAGGGAACAGAATCAATGCTGCTTCTCTCAAAGGTGGCAGCAGCGGCGCCCTGCTCTAGGACGTGACCAGCTGTGGATTGATCGCTGGGCCTTCCCAGGGTCCTGCCAGGAATCCAGTCTCATGCATCAGGCACCTGAAAGGGCATTGTTACAGTCCAGTAACTTGGCTTCTGCAGGTCTAGCAAGATCCACGTGAGGTTGTCGCAAACAGACGAAATGCAACACGTAGCAATCAAGGTTTATTAAGCTCTGAAAGTGCACTTCTCAGAAGAGGAGAAGCGGTGTCTCTCACAAGTGAGCACACTGGTCTTCTGTTCTTTCTCCCCCTTTATAGGGTGTTTGGCTCATTTCCCTCAGGTTTAATTTGGATCTGTGGCAGGGTCTAGGAAGCACCTATTTTATACCCTTTTTGATCCTCTGGTACTGGTGGTTATGTGTCATGGGGTCGGTTCCGACTCATAGTGACCCTGTACAGGGTTCCCGAGGCTGTAAATCTTTAAAGGAGCAGAAAGCCTCATCTTTCTCTTGTGAAACAGCTGGTAGTTTCGAACTGCCGACCTTGAGGTTAGCAGTCCAATTCTTAACCACGATGTTTCCAGAGCTTCTTTTGGAGGCCTAGCACTGCTCTATTTCTCAGGAAGTGTGTGGATTGAGTGTCCTGGAATTGTTGATTCAAGTGCCAAGTGTTGGGGTGTGGTTAGGCTGGCTTCTTAGGTTCCTTCTCTGTCCCTAAGAGAATCACTGTGCCTCTTCCGAGTCTTCTATTCCAGGACCTTGAGCAGTTATTTGTCCTGTTTCAGTTAACCATGACAAATCATTCAAATAATAAATGTTCAGATCTGTCTCTGTTTTGCTTCATTTTGCATGATAGAAACGATTCGAGTCAATTTTAAGTTCTGTTTAAAGGGCAAGTAGATGTTGTCCGTAAATTGGATGATCGTAAATCAGCTTGTATCAGGAAAATTCTTCTCATACCAGTGTTTGTGTTTGGTCTGTTTCCTTTATTTCTCTCTCTCTCACTTAAAAAAGTTTTTTTTTTTTTTTTTTTTTTGCAAAAACTCTTGCATATCAGTCCATATTTTATCCTTAGGAAAGAGAGCATGGAACTCCTCAAGGCCCCTAAATTACAAAGAAATTTCACAATCGTAGTTGTTAGAATACTTTACATATGTGATACCTATATAGACTGAGTAGTCTCACCTTTTCTTCAATTTCTTATCATAAGTATTAATTTCCAAACTCATTCACTAATCATACTTGTAACATAAGATGTCAGGGTTAGACAGCAATTTAAAAATGATTCAAAATTACAGTCATCTGACCACTGTTAAGTTTATATCCATTGAGGATAATGGCCAAGTGATTAAGCACAGTTCCCCCATGATTTACTTTTTATCATTCCTGTATATACTTGATTTTCTTTCATACATCTTTTTGTCACAAAATATACTATAGTGTATTTCCTCCTTTGATCGACAGTTCTGCACTTTCATACTCCCTCCTATTTATCCAAATCACTTTAGTGTCTGTTTTTCTCCTCTAAAATCTTGGCAGCTTCCCAATGTCAACTTTTTTTCATCTGTTTAATGAGACATGGCTCTGTTTATCATTCAGTTTGTTGTTGTTGTTTAGTACTGTTGAGTCGGTTTTGACGCATAGGGACCCTGTCTCGGGCTTCCAAGGAGTGGCTGGGTGAAGTTATCCCACTGCCTGAAGTTTATTATGCTCTTGTGGGCAATCCGCGACCCTTTGAGCTATATACTGAGTGTCTGAGTCTTCAGTTTTACATTCTTAAAGAGATTCTCATAGTTTGCTGATGAGTTAACCATAGATAATGTAGCCAAAAATTTAGACAATTAACACATGATCTCAGCATCTATAATAGCTCATAATATAATCTAGGAATGTATCTATTGTACAAATCTATTTGTTTTTGTTGTTAAGTGCCGTCTAGTCGATTTCTACTCACAGTGACACTGTATAGTGTTTCTGAGGCTTTAAATCTTCACAGGACAAGAAAGCCTCATCTTTCTCTGGCGAAACGGTTTTCCAAGATAAGTTTGCTATTAGCTAGTATGGATTTAAAACATTCCTTTGAATAGTTTATGATTGTATCCTCTGCAGAGACTATCTCTCATGTTGTTGTTGTTAAGTGCCGTTGAGTCAGTTCTGACCCATAGCGACCCTGTACAGGGTTTCCGAGGGTGTAAATCTTTACGGGAGTAGAAAGCCTCATCTTTCTCCCGCGGAGCGGCTGGTAGTTTCGAACCGCTGACCTTAAGGTTCACAGCCCGATTCGTAACCACTACGCTACCAGAGCTCTCATAGAAGAAGATAATTTCATGTCTTAAATTTCTAGTGTTTCTTTTCATTTTTTAACAATCCAAAGAATGTCCCTTATTCTAAGTTATTTACTCATCTATGGGGTTGCAAATAAAATCCTAAAATTATTTTGTTGCATGCGGGTGTCTTTTGGAACACACTTATTTACCTGGATGTGTTTTATTTTTCATTCTATATACTCAAATGTTATTTATTTTATAAAACATTTTGTTTATCTGAATGATTTGATAAACTCAAGAGAATAGCCTAATTTCATCATAGCCACAATATTCCTTGACTCACCAACTTCTCTGTAAGGATTTGAGAGGCAAGGTACTTTGTTTCCTCATAATTCCTCCTGCAGCTATATGTAGGTTATAGGTCTTTAATGAGTGCTTGAAAATATTTTTATGATTAAATGACTCGGAGTATTTAATACCTATAATCTACTTAGATAACATTTTATTGGGAGTTTAATTTTGAGCGTGTGGGAGTTTTAGTTTTTTTTAAACTAATAAATAAGTTTAAGAGGGACGTCTGCCATTTCTTTTAAGAACCTTTGTCTGATGGATTTTTTTGTTATTTATTTGATGCATGTGTTTCTAGAAGGTGGAACATTCTAGATTAGACCCCATGGAGCTTCCTGTCCTTCATTATAGGTATTTGAATCATCTTTAGTTAGTTCAGGATCAAGCCTTTGCTGGTTTTCCATGGCAGATATGAACTCTCCAAGTTGGATTTTAAGCTTCCTGTAAGAAAATGCCATACCTTATTCTGTTATATCTCTATTTGATAGGACAGTGTATTTTACAGAGAAGGCACACAGTGTTTCATAATGAACATTAAACTAATGAAAGAACCCTTGATCCCTACCCCACCAATGTAATGCCACTGGGGCTACATGCTAATAGCTCATGTAGGTAAGAAGCAAATAGTACCTTAATCCTATTTCAAGTGGTTACTCTCATGTGGCCCTATGTGCCAACATCCTTGTGACTTTCTCTCTCTCCCGATTTTCTCCAAGTCTGTTTCTTACTGAAAGTTTCTTTCCTCCCACCAGATCTATTCAGTCCATGAACTGGGACCATTAAATGATAGTATCTTCCCCAAATGGTGTCCCTTAATTTGGATCATACTTGTTGGCTACTTGCTAAAAAAAGAAAGCAAAATAGTTTTTACAGCACATATACCATCTGTCTATCCATATCAGTTAGATTAAAAAAGCTAAAGGTATCTCTTCATAAAGCTCCAACTTCCAAATTTGGACAAGCTAGCACATGCCCTTGGAATCCTGGTGTAGGATAAGCACAGAAATCCTGTACAGTGTTGATTTGAGTCACAATTGACTCCTCAGTACTTAACAACTTAACAACAACAATCACATGTCCAATAATATAAAAACCCTTTTCTATTGCGAATCCTTTGTCTTTCTAGGTTGTTGACATCAACAATAATGACCCTAGCCTAGCCTCCTGCATTATTATGGAATTTCTGACTGCATAATCCTCTTGGCCCGATTGTCCAATGTGACTCTCCCAACAGCCAAGGAAACTATAAAGGGCAGGTCTATATTACCAAAAACTACACAGCTGCTATGTGAGGAACCCAAGACTGGAATCTTGGTTCTTTCTATAACTCTGGTTCTTTCTTCTTCGTCCTGTTGTCCCTTAAATACGACAATGAGATGTGATGTTCTGTTGATACTTGGTCTCACACAGTAGATAATATTGAAGTGTCTGAGCCTGTAATATCTTTTCAAATAAGGTGTGCTTTTAAAGTGCGCAATCTGAGTGTCTTTACATTTTGTATTCCAAGTTTTCTAAACATAACCTAAGTGTACTGTGAGCTGCTTCTACCATTATTGGTGCATTTGAACTAGTGTACAGGTTTATAATCTTCTCAGTGATGAAGAATGCGCTGTTTTGATCAGTTGGGATATTATCCCTGCCTTGCTGTTCATTGTAAAGACTCCAGATGCGCACACTCTATATAATTAACAATAGAAGATATATCTTTCCTCAATACGTCTTTGTCTCCCTTCATCATTTGATCTCATCTGTTTTCTTTTGCCAAGAAGTCCATGCTACAATTAAATGTCTTTAGAATAGCACAGTGACAGTATTTTCATTTAAAGGAACTTGGGGGTGGGGTGGGGATTTGAGCATGAAGCTTGCCATGGGGGTAGAGGGAAGTAAAGCAGAGTGCAGCCTTGACTGACAGGAAAGGAAACCTTGGCAAGCAGCCTGCCCAGCCCGACCCTCCTGCAGCCATGGCTCATGGCCTCTGTCTGACTCCCATCTAATGGCTGGCTGATGCAATTCTGATCCTCCAAATAAATGACTGGGGGTTGGCATTGTGCCAGGTACAATGCCATGTGTAGGAAGTCCTGTCTTTAGATGAAAGAAGAGAAGTATCAGTCCTTTCATGTTCTTGTCAACTACTGAATCATCCCATGTTCCCTCACCTTCCAAGCACGAGCCGTTAGCCCATGACTTCATTTGGCATCATTGAGACCTTCCAATGGGATCCTTGTTAAACTTGCTTCTGGTGGCCCGGCTTCAGAAGGTCACCTAGTCATTCTACTTCTAAAACTCAACAGGATAAAAAAAGATCACATTTGGTTTGAAAATAAAAGAAAGACCAGAGTTATGAGTTTCAGATATGGGCATGGGAGCTCCAAGAAACAGCGCAGAAGACACAACAGGTTGTGCTGTGTTCCCTCCAAGAGGAAAGCACATGGTCTGGACATGCTCAGAGCCCGTGGGGCAGCCCCTAAGTGGGACCCTCTCCAGCCCATGGGCATCATAAACCTCACATGTTCTTCTAATGGTCATTGTCCCTTTCTGAAATTACTATGTGCCCTATTGCCCACACAAACCCCCATACCAGACCAGGGCTGCAGTCCATCAATCAAGATAGCAATCATAGTAAGGTAAGTTTCCAATAATAACATTCCACGGTTTTCTACAACATCAAAGTTCAATCAGCATGTCATGTTCTGCTCAGCAATGAGAGAAGAGAGACACATGAAAAGGGTGTGTGTGTGTGTGTGTGTGTGTGTGTGTAGGGGAAATAGAATCGATTTCTGCAATTTTTTTCTTAACAACAACAGCAACAAAAACACTTCCACCCTCCACCGCCCACCCCCACCCCCTGCTGCATGTGGTCCAGATAGCCAAGCATGGGCTTGTTTGGGCTCATGAAAACCTCTCCCATCTGGGACATTTGTTTTCATAGTCAGGAGGCTGTTAATCAGCGTATTCCAAAAAAAGCCAATGAGTGCTACAGTTTTTGCATGTGTTTCTGCGCCCTGCTGCTGAGAATGTAATAGGATTTTCACAGCTGAAGAAGGCTAAGCTCCTCTTCCGCAATCTCCACTTCCTTCCCTCAAGAAAAGGCATTTGTGAATGATTCCACACGACAGCAACGTGTACATGACTTGAGGTCTAGTAATTGTTTTCACACTAATCTTTACTTGTGAATGCACGCACAGCCCACCACTGCCGCCAGCCAGGCAAGTTCTGTGATAAGAGAAAGAGTAAGTGAGTGAATGAATGAATGAATGAGTGAACGAATAGATCAATCAATCAGTAAAGAGATACCCTCATGTTTCTATTTTCCAGGCATAAATAAATTTACTAAGAAGCTTCGAAATCCCTATACCATTGATAATAATGAGCTCCTAGACTTTCTCTCCAGGGTACCGTCTGATGTTCAAAAGGTATGTAATGAATGATCACCCGCCAATAGGGACTCTAGTGCTGATGTCTGGCCAGCCCTAGAGCCAGAGGATCATTGGCTGTGCTGTGTGAGCAACTGAGATAAGGAATCAGAAAACACTTACAGAGGCCTGACTTGCAGGGAGGTGATGAGACAACCTTTGTCCAAAGCCTGAGATGATTGGGGAAATTATCCTGAACACGAACTACTTAAGAATGATCTGGCGCTCATACTGTAAGGCTATCTTGCGATGATGTTTGTCACCTCTCTGATTGCTCGCCTACCTAAAGAGGATAAGATGGGCTCAGTGAGTGGAAGGGCTTGAATGCAAAGCTGTGGGAGTGTGGCTTAGTTTCCTTCTCCACGATGACAGGCATGTTAGAGGAAGTAGAGGACCAGTGGATTATTAGATTTTTTTTTTCTATGTATTCTTCTTTTTCTCAATTATCTCCTCAGCTCCCCTTCCATCTAGTTCCCTCTGAAGACTGAGGGATTCTGTGGGCAAAGTCCCAGTTTAGTCTAACACACAAAGAGGCAGAGACAGCATGAAACCATTTGAGATCAATCAGAAGCAGTATTCACAGGCAACGGTCACTTAGTCCAGCAGGGCCCTGTCTCTGTGGATACACAGAGATGAACACCAATACCAGCAAGTCCCATAGAGAAGCCATCCAGGCTCCTATGGTTCAGGCTACTCTCAATCCAGAGGAGGTTGGCAGGCTGCGGTGTCTCTAATAGAATAGGTAGATAGGAGACTATGAGCTGAGATAGCGTCAAAAGGATCAGAAACACAATCCTTTATTACCTCAGAGAATCCCAAATCTAGGATCAATTTCTATCTTGGGACAAAAGTAATTAGTTCCCCGAGAGCACTTGGTGGATGGCATGGATGTGGGTCTGAACCTTCTGTGGTTTCGTTCACCTTCGTTTTAAGTCACGTTTGTAGATAGCAGGATGAACTCCATGACACTATTCTTCTTTACTCTTCACTTAATGATCTAATATTAATAACAGTAAGTATGCATTCTGTAGGTATGGATTTACTGATTAGCATTTGCATTCAATGATTTAAAAAGGAGCATCCTGGTCCTGTTTGTGTTCCACTGAAGATGACAAGGTGGCTCATTCCCTGTCCTTTAGGGGACCTCATAAAATGCTCTATGGACAGGTGCTTTGTTCATTTATCTTATGTGATGGGACATAAATGCTAAAACTTGGGCACATGTATGCTTTCCAGTACATTATTTGACATGACATCATTCCCAGTCAGACTATCAAATACACACACCAAAGCAATCCGTTTGCAGCATCCATCTCTAGAGTCTAAATGTGAGTTCAGGTCCATATCCCCTCCCCATGGAGTCCACCAAGGCTTGTTGGTGTACAGTCCAAGCACGGGTCCCCAGGGCACCCATTCCCTCGGAGTTGGCTCAAATACAGAGCAACACAACAAAAGAACATCCAAGAAAGGTACACACTGCCAAGTGTATTCTAATAACATAATAGGTTGCCACTGGGACTCTGGGAGCACTCAGATTTATCGCCAATGTTTTAGCTCGTATACTGTAAGTGAAATTCATTTTCAAGAGAAATCTGTATGTTTGGGGCCCAGTATCAATCTCAGGCAAAATAAATGTATATCATTTGCTCAGATTTGTCATCAAGATTTTAGATGCTTTTAAATGAATAAGTCTTGGTGCATTTCTGTATCACATACATACTCCAGGTAAGCATTGCCTTGGAATGGTTATTAACTGACTTATGATTGAGAAGAAGCACACAAAACTAAACTCAAGCATTGTTGAGAACAGGTAGAAACCCGTGCATCTCATTATAAAGATCTGCTTTTAATATTTTGGTTTCCAGAAATGATGCATGACTTCTCAAATCCTTCCTGCAATTAATCCCTGCATGCTCCTGTGTTTAGAAAATGATTCATTACCTTTGAACCTTCCTTCCTTTGCCTTGGTTTGTCCTTGGGGAGCCATTAACACACACTGTGGTGATCTAGGGTTACCTAACTGCCGGTGTCCTCTCTGCCTGTTTTCACAGGTGCAGTATGCAGAACTGAAACCCTGCAGTGGCCAGAGCCCCCTGCGCAAGAAGCGAAGCATTCCCTAGGACGCAAACGGACTTTGGGAACCAGCCCCTGATTTTGTGTTTGGTGGATTAATCCAACATTGTCATTTCTTCAGCCGTCTCTGTGTATCATTCGGAAATGCTTGCTGTGTGGAGCCGTCTCTGTATTGTCTCCCTTCCCCCCCCACACACACACACACAGACACATGCACTTCCACGTGTGCACACAACCTCTTGTGCACACATCGAATGAATGGATATACTGGTTACACATGGGTGTACTGGTTGGCCCAGCAAAAGGAGACTATCCAGAGACTGAAATAGCTACACTCAGCCTCCAGTGGGCGCTCATGCCAGGCTGCATCGGGTCTGAACATGGCGAGCAGACAGACCTCTTGGACCACTTGGATTCCACAGTGATTTTGGACTTGTTTTCACACCTCCAGCAAATTCTCATTAAGATTTAGTTAGTTCCATTAGCCAACCTTACCCACAGTCCTTTCAGATTATTGTTTGCGTTAATGAAGATTTTTCCTTAGTTAACAATGCAATGTCATCTGTTCAAATGGCGTATACTTTAGAGATATTTTTTATAATTGCTTGAATTCACCCAAATCTGTAGAAGTGTTTCAGTTGAGATCTCTGAGGACCTGTATGTGACCGTCAGTACAGCCCATGTTCTGGGCTCAGGTGGGCCCTAGGTCCCTTGCTGGCAATGAGGCCCCAGGAAGTCCCAGTAGGATGCTTATCTAGAGAGGGAGGGGATCATGTTTTACTATAACTCCCTGGATTCTGACTTTATTTCTGCTTACATCAAAAATAAGATGCCAATATTTATAACTTGAGAAAGAGAAAGGAACGAACATGTGGGTTCAGAGAGTGTACAGGCTAAGAATCAAGAATGTGGCAAACGTGGCTGCTGACATGGAAATAAGTTTGTTGTTGTGAAGTGCCGTCGAGCCGGTTCCGACTGATAGTGACCCTGTATGAGGTTTCCGAGGAATGGCTGGTGAGCTTGAACTGCCGACCTTGAGGTTCAAACCGACCTCGCTGTCTAACACATTAACTAACCCACAGCGCTACACTCTTTTCACTGAGTGATGTGGACAGAAAGGAAACCATTTAGCCTACGTAAATTTGTCTTTCTTAAATTTTGTCTTTATGGGCAAACGAAGCTGTGGTGGTGGTGGTGGTGGTGGTTATGTGCCATGGAGTTGGTTCCGAGTCATGGCGACCCTGCATAGGGTTACTGAGGTTGTAAAACTTTATGGGAACAGAAAGCTTCATCTTTCTGTCATGGAACAGCCAGTAGTTTCGAACTGCTGACCTTGAGATTAGCAGCCTGACTTGTAACCACTAAGCTACCAGAGCTCCTTAAAAGAAGCTATACATAATAAAAATTTATCTCAGAACCCCACTCATATAAACTTACACCCAAAAGCCCCCTGTTGATCTTAACTGACTTATTAGACTCTCCTACTTTTAAGAACCCCTCTCAAGTAAAGAATCTGATTTTCTGCACATGTATTTATCTTTAAATGATATTTAAGTTTTAAAGACTGTATTTCATCGACACATGCTTCATATGTGCAGTTTTGTATAAACGTATAGTCTAAGAAAAGTTGAGGGAAAAGAACGGATTTCATTGTGAGTTTTACTATGAAAACTCTAGGTTGTAATTTAATAATCTTCAAACAAAATGTTTATGAAAAATGCCCAAGATTCTAAGCCTTATCATGCCGTGTCTGTTTTTCTTCATATTGTATCTTCCTGGGTTGCTTTCTGGCTGAGCCAGATTTCTGCATGATTTGATTTACTTCAAGTTAATGAAGCTGGTTGGAATAGAGTCTTGTAGAAATGATAAAAGCTCCAGTAAATCTCTTAGTTGTACATACAATAGATAGCCAAGAACCTCTTTTGTGAGACCAGTTACTCAGTCTTCTGTGTAAACAAAGCCTCATTGTCTCCCTCCCAACTGTCATCCAGTTTATCATAGTCTGTCATTTTGTAACGACCTAAGTCAGGCTTTTTTAAACAGACATGCGAGATCGGATCAGTCATTTGAATGAAAACTTTCAGCAGCAAAATAACCCTTTATTTATTTAAAAGGGGAACCAATACTTTATTGTTCTTTTGCTATAGAATTTCAAAATGAAATAATTTGCTCGACAAGAAGGCATCATTAGTTAGACATACTTCCTCTGTAGCCTGACTGGAATTCTCAGCATTCAGTTTAGGTCTCAAACACCAGCTAGGATATAAGGGCAGGACCAGCTCAATCTTGAATCAATTGTAAATGGAAAACAACCGTTAATTGATTCAGTAGATACTGAATGCGGAACAACCAGTATTAGTTGTATGTGAGATGTTAATATTTATACAAATAATCAGAAGCTTTTACGAAAGACTCCAGAGTGCTTTAGATTAAATTTATGAACTTGCAGAATGATAATTAAAGATCATTTCATAGGAATGTTGAAATCTTGCCAAACTTTCTTTGTTTTCTTACACCTCATGCACCCGTTTCCAGTGCTGCCTGAAAGTTCAGCACACGCGTCAAAAATTAAGCTTCATCTTTCCCCGTGTGGAATAAAGTGCTGGACCAAAAGGTCAGTTTGACCCACAAGGTCAGTGGTTCAAACTCACCATCTGCTCCTTGAAAACCCTATACAGGGTCGCTATGTATGAGTTGGAAACAACTCGACAGCACTTAACAACAATATTTCCCTTAAAAGTACCATGGACTATCAGAAGAACAAACTAATCTGTTTTGGAAGAAGTACAACCAGAATGCTCCTAGGAAACTCATGTAGGCAAGACTTTGTCTCTCCCTGGAGAAGGACTTCATTCTTGGTGAAAATGGAGGGTCTGAGCAAAAGAGGAGGACCCCCAATGAGGTGGATTGACACAGTGGCAGCAGCTGTGTTTCAAGTGTGGCAACGATTGTGAAGTTGGCAGAGGACAGGTCAGTATTTTCTTCTGAACCAACAAGATGGTGCCTGCCATCAACAGCAACAATTTCCCTTGAATTCACTGGGGCTATCTCAGCTGAAACCCTAGCAGGCATCCTAGTCTTTGTTCCTTGTGTTTTTTTGCTGTTTTTCTCCCAACTGGTAAACTCCTACAAATGCTGTGCTGATGTGCTACCTTGTCCATTTTTGTTCTAGTTATTTCTACCCAAGTTGAGGCCTTTTTTATTTCTGGTGAAAGTCTGTCCAACAAATTAGGTTCCCATTTAAGAATTTTTATAAATATTGTTCAGTGACATTGGTGACATTTTCCACACTGAGTCAACCTTCTCCTTATTTCTGTTTGGATTGTTTTCATTATCTTGCTGCCATGTCTCCCCCCACCCCCCACCCCTTTCTCATCTTTGCTTTCTGGTAAATATTCATCATTTGGTCTCATAAAAATGATTTTTGTAGTTGTTGCTTTAAAGGAGCACAGTATTAGGTGATATTGTTTGGCAAGTCGGGTCTTTTCTGTTGTTGTTGTTAATAATCTGGTATTTGTTCTACAGTTTTCTCCCATTCTGTGGAATATTCTGTCCTGTGTCCCTGGTCAGAGTAATTAGTAGTGGTAAGCAAGCACCATCTAGTTCTTCTGGTCTCAGTATAGATGGCTTCATGCAGATGCCTGGTAAATTCAGATAAAATCATGACCATAGTGCCAATTAATTACACTCAGTTCCAACTCATAGAAACCCTGGAAAGGTTTTCTGAAGCTGTAAATACTTGCGGAAGTAGAGAATCTCATCTGTCTGCCGGCCAATTACAATACACCAATTTAATCCACATTCAGACTGTGTTTTTCACTTGGACCAGACTCTCCCATAATTCTGTCTGAATAAATGCTACTCTCCCTCAGACTTTTAATGGTCCCTGGATGGTTCAAATAGCTAACATGCATGCCTGAGAACATAAAGGCTGAAGATTTAAATTCACCAAGAGGAACCTAGGAAGAAAGTACTGGCAATGTACTTCTGAACAATCAGCCATTGAAAGCCATCTGCAGCATTGTTTTACTCACACACATGGCGGTGCAATGAGTTGGAGCCAAGGTGAAAGCAACTAGTTTTCAAAAGTTTCAAAAATCTCCTTGATGACATTTCATTCTTTTTTTGGAAGCCTCTAGATCATGTATATAGGGGCTAGGGATAAAAATGAAAATAAAAGATAATAGAAATTTTCCACAAGACTTTTGAAGCCATTTATATGTCTTCTGGCATTTGCTGTGTTCAGCTATACTCTTCAGAGGACTTTACACTGTTCCCCAGGAGGCTCTCATCCCCTCTGACACCTAGTAGACTCTTGGGAAATACCCATTTAACTTGCCAGATCATAGACTAAACTTCTTGCAGCCCTAGAATGTGCCATTCCTAAAGATCTAACTCTCGTCAATTCTGACTCAAAATCTTCTACGACAGAGTGAGAAAAACTCCCTAAGGTTTCTGAGGATGTCAGTCTTCCTGGGAGCAGACAGCCTCACCTTTCTCCCACAGGGCGTCTGCTAGGTTCACACTAGTATCAGGGCTCCTAGAAGAGCTGAGCTGGGTAGATCAGTAGTCTATACTGGAATTTTCTTTTCCCTCTCATTAAGAAAAAAATTGTAAATGTCTGGAGTGTTCACCTAAATGTCAGAAAAAAAATATGATGTTTATTTGTGGGCTGTTTACGAGCCTCTTAATGCTTTCTTGTTACTAGTCATAAAATATATGTCAAAAACATATATTGAACTTAGCTTAGTCTGTGCTAATTAGACACTCATCATAAAGCTTAACAGACAACATTCCCTTCAGACATTAACTTTCACGCAATGGCGTTAAATACTCAGATTAATTTTGTAATAATATTCTGGCTACAGTAGGTATATTTGTTGTTGTTAAGTGCCATTAAGGAGCTGCTAGTGAGCTTGAACCGCCAACCTTGCAACTCAAACCAACCTTGCTGTCCAGTGATTAACCCACAGTACCACATAAGGTATATTAACAATTATGAATTTTCAAAGAAGAGCTATACAAAACAGGCCAAAAATTAAATTAA